CCCACCCACAGGGCCTGGTGTGTCCCCCCACACGGCCTGGTGTCCCCCACACACCCCCCTTGCCCTGTAGCCCCATGGGGTACATACTTCACACTCCTCGTACCCCACAGAGGGCCTGGCCCCCTCACGCCCTGCATTAATTGAACTCCATTACTGCCAGGTGTTGTTGTCACCCCAGTGACTCCTTGTGGTTCCCGGGTCAGCTGAAGCCCTGTGGGGTTGAAGAGGTGTGGGGGAAGGAGGAGGCAGGGGCAGAAGGGGTGGCACTGACCTGAGGAGACAGTCAGTGAGCTTTAACCAAAAATGGGGAGAAGCTGAGAGACTTTGGTCCTTTGTGCTGAATAACGGGGTGCAGGTGGTTCGATTTCTTCTGGAAAACACAAACATGGGGCCCTTCAGGTGCCAGGGGGCTGTTGTGGAGCTGGTGCTGGTTGTACCTCTTCCTCTGACCTTCCCAAGCCAGGATGGTGTCTGTGCCGGGCTGGGAGCTGCCCACGGCCAGGGCTCTGTGGGGCAGGAGACGGGACGGCTGTGCCTGCTGTGCTGCGGTCAGGGCCAGGGTCCCACCGAGGGGCTTGGTGCAGAGCCGAAAGGTGCTGCAGAGCAATGAGGCTGCCTGACCTGGGTCACTTGGTAACTGCTGTATATCAGGAGAGGTTTGACGTCCTGTTTAGGTTTTGAGTCACTTCTTACCAAGAGAGAATCATCTTCAAACCCTTTTTTGTTTTTATAGGTAAAATCTGGAAATGCGGGTTTTTTTGGCTGGCTGCTTCCCTCCTGCCCCGCTCCTGCTTTTTGTTGGTAAAGGATTTTGGTAACTGACTGCAGGCGAGGCTTCTGGAGCATTATCATTGTCCTGAAACCTCAGCAATAATGACGGAAATGCATTGGTCAGAGTTTTATTTTCCACTCTCTTTAGAACTGAAAACTGTTACCTGGCACTTGAGAGAAAAATTGTTTCTGTGCATGTTTTGCTTTCTCATCTTTATACCCTGAAGATGAAAACCTCTTTTTCCTGTTTTTTGATGTGTTTTTGAGTGAGAATAGAAAAACCAAAATCTGGTACTTCTACCTTAAAAGCAGAAAGACCCTTCCTTTTTATATTACCTTTTTTAGATCTCTGTTATAGATAATTTTTAAAAGGTCACAGACAAGTATTCTCTTAATGCACTTATTTTAATGAGCACTTTAAGGAGATTGTTCCTTGAAAAATCTTTCTTTATTCTTTGTTTTAGATAAACCAAGGAGTCGATATGCTGTGAATAGCTCTGGTGATACCACAGAAGATCAAGATGGGGACTCCAGGTAGGGGAAAACGCTTCTCCTTGCCTAAGAGTTTGAAACAGAGGAGGGGTGGCCTCTTGCCTGCTAGTTCAGTAGGCAGATTCTCTTGGACTTTATAGAAAACAACTTACAAAGAGATGCTTTAATGCCACGTTATGAGCAAATTAGTGCTTAGTAATGTGGAATTTCTCATGAGGGAATGCTACTGAATCTATTGTTTTCTGGGCAAGGCATACGTCAGGTATCTTGTGCTCATTAGAAAGGCAATATTACTCTTTCAAAGCTAGGAGTATTAATACTTTGGCAACATTCCACTTTTCTTTACCTGCCTCCTCTAACTGGATATATTATTCAGTTGCCTCAAATTCTTCCCTAGCTCGTGTAATTGTCGTATGGAATTGCTGTGCACTAATTAATAACTAATTTTGTTTCTCCAGATGTAGCTGCCCTTGTGTCTGTGAAGTGAAATAGTGGCTGAAAAGGAAACAAAGACTTAAAGATAGTTTTTCAATTATAGGAAATCAGTGGGTAACAAAGGCACTGAAAATAGGCAGTGTGTTGTTCAGCATGCATATATGTACGAATGGACCCTCTAATTAGATTTTTTAGAAAATTTGAAATCTGCTGCATGGTTGTGAATTTATCACTATCAGATATGAGATAACTCTGGGAAAGAAAAAGGGGTTTTTTTTGTCTGTTGACTCATAGTTCAGTTGTGGATCTTTTTTATGATGTGTGTTTTAATCTCCAATGAGGTAGTTGCTGCTCTTCTCTCATATAAGAGTAAAAAAGAAGTGCTCATCACTTGCCTCCCAGAACAAAATTTGGATCCCACCGTCACAAAATGTAAGCTTGTTCTTAACTTTGACTGAGAATGGTTTAGCTGAAATTAAAATCACCCATGATAGTAAAGTTCATCAATTCATATTTTCCAGGACTGGGATCTTATGAAAATACATTTACTTGAGGTAATTTGTATCTCTTGCCTCTTCTGGTGTCTTTGAAACCTTCAAATGCAGCCTTCTGTCATGTCTCCAGTGAGTGCAGTATGGTACAGGGCACCACTCTGGCTGGAGCAAGCCGTGGTTTTTTAAGTTTAGTAATTGATGAGTGGGCGTTTCGGACTGCGCTGTGGACACAGCTAGTCTGCACATTAGGAAGGCTCAGTGCACGCGTTTGCTGGTTATCTCAGGGATTTTGTTGGCTGTGGTTCAAAACCCTGTCTCTAGTATTTCCCTAGACAGATTAAGATGGTGTTGGCATGGTCCCAGCTTCTGTCTGATACTGATTCTTGTTGCCTCTGCCATTTTAGCAGGTTGGACAAAGCACCTAATGCGGAGCTGCATTGGCTGCACGTTACCTGTGGTGCTGAATTAGTGTGATGCAGCATGTGGCTACTACAGTGGCACAGGAAAAGCTTTTATCATTCCAACTTATGGTCAGATGAGAAAACTGCTAGTGTTTTCCTGAAACTGGTTTTAAGTAGATTGAATATGCTGGCATGTGACCTACATTAAACAAAGATTTAGATAATTTCCTTGTAGTGGTGTCCAGAGCTCTGGGCTTAAAAAATAGTGCTTAATCTCCTGGTCAGGTATTTGTTATTAAGCTTTTAGTGTTTAAAATAATTTCTGATCTCTCAACTGGGCTCACTGAGCACAAAGTATCACAGTTCTGAAGCATGGAATGAAAGAACATTAAGACAGGAATCCCCCCCCGCAGTGATGGTCTTCTGAAAAAAGAAGCTGTCACTTTTACAGTTTTGTATCTAGCAATACATACAAATTCATGCTGCAGTATCTGCACCAGATGCTTACTAAAGTCAGTGTTTATAAGCCTTATATCTACTTAAATGAAATTGAGGTGTCAGCCAACACAGGTCTGTTTGCAGGAAGTCTCTTTGTATTATCTCCTGTGGATCTGTGTATAGCTGCCATGCAGATGAAGGGAAAACAGAAGAAAAGGAGCGATTATGTTGCTCTGAAAGTGCTGGTTCTGATAGAAGCCAGCAATGGAGGTCCAGCACACTGCTTGTGCTGCTTGCATGGCTGGCCATCTGCATTCAGAAATTCAGAGTCTCTTTCAAAGTTACATTAGTTTCAAGTTTGTTTGTTGAAAAGCTTTTTCCCAATGCCACTGTAATCAGTGTTGTAACTACAACGCATCCCATACAACTGATGTAGCAGCTAAACGTTTCCTTCTCTTCAGTGAGAGCAGCTGGTAGAAGAAATAATGGATATTCCTTATATACTGAGTCCTGTTAATTTATGTTAGACAAGAGGAGGTTTGTTGGCAGAGTTAATACCTTTCACTGGTCTTACAGCTGAAAAAATACTCAGGTTTTAGGTACACTTCTTCCAGCGCAGAACAAACAGGGATCTTCAAAACTGTGTACAAAAGGTTGCTCGGACTTATGATTTGTATCAGACCATTTTGGGAGTAACAGAAGTTGGTGCCTTGCAGTAGGAGAGATTTTAAGGGAAGAGTGGAAGCACAAAGGTGCAGATGGAGAGAGCGAGATGCATAGGGTTTGTAAACTAGGAAAGGAGGGAGTCTAACTGTAAAACCATTATTGTTGCTGAGCCCATGGGGTTTTTTCCTCACCAATGTTACGAATTTTTGCTCCTGGGCTCCTGTTTGCTGTGGTTTGTATGTTCCCATTGAATCAGATCAGGCTGCAGAGACCAGGAATGGAGCGAGGGGGTTTGTGAGAGCCATTCCCCCCGTGGCAGCTCTGTCCCTGGAAGTTCATTCTCCCACAGTGCAGTGGTGCAGCGGTTGGTGCTAGATTGCTAGTAAGTTAAAGACAGCCATATCACTATTTTTTTCCCAAGCTGTTGGAACCCAGATCCAACCCAGTTTTGAGCTGACCTTTCCTGGAGCAGCTGAGGTGTATGTATTTCTTTATGGCCTGAGAAAGGACAAAATTACATCAGTTTGAGTGCCCTAACTCTCCATTTCCATGTAGCATATTTGTACGCATAACTGGATTTCTTTTAGCCTTCAGACTCAAATATCCTGGTCACTGTTATGCTTTTTGTTTTTTGTAGACAATTGCAGCCTATTCATGATAATCCTACCTCTAGGTTACTGGTGTGTATTTCCTTGTATTAATTTCTGTTCAATGCAGCTGTGTGTTTGGGTCTTCAGAACATAGATTTTTTTTTTTTCTTCCTTTTAAAAGCAAGTCAAGCAGCAAAAGAGGTTGAGGTGTGTTGATAGAGGCCACCCAACAAAAAGGTATTCAGAAGAATCTGTCACTGTCAAAACAAATTGCCTGTCAAGTGTCTCTCTTTGTTGGCTTCTTCTCAGCCTTTGGTCATTTGCTGTCTTCAAAACATCCTTCAGTTTCTGAGTGCTTTACCCGTAATACATAAATACCTACCCCTCACAGCCTATGGAGATGCCTGCCAGTCTCTTCCTCCTCCTTGGAAAAAACGTGAGGCAGTTGCTCTTTTGAAGCCATGCTTCATTAAATTGGTTTGAAGTTATTTTTGTAGTTTTTCTGAAGGTGGTCTAGTCTGCCAGCAAAAATCCTAATGAAGGTGCACATACGGTAACATATGTTACACCAGACTTTGCATTTTTTTATCAGCATAACTGACTAACTGAAGGAGGTTTAGCAAGTTTGACAGCATCGATGTCATTAATTGGCCAAACGCTTCTGTTATAAAAAAACCCCAAGTTACTGACAAACAGGGACTTGAATGTCCCTTTCTAACGAACAGTAGTTCTCCTGTGATAACATTTCTATATCCTCTGTCCCTTTTTCACTGAACTCCAGTGTTCTTCCTTGTATTTGTTCTGAAAGGCTTCCTTTCTGTGAGCCCGTGCTTTTCCATTCATCCGTCCGTCCCTTTAAACACCCTTCCTGTAACATCACCCCCTTTGTATAGTTTGTTTTTTAGGATTGCTCTAGGTTCCCTTTTCAACATGACCAGTAGAAATCTGCTCTCTTTTGGATTAAATAATTGTAGGAGGCTTTCATTTTGTCTTCCATTTCTAAGGTGGACAGTATAAAGCTTTTATCAGATTATTTTTTCAGTATATTTAGGACATTTGTTTCAGGAAACAAGTCCTTTTTTCCTTGTTATTTGGAAAAAAGAGCAGCTGCTGTTAAAACGAAAGTAGGTGTTTGTTTCTCTGCTGTAGAAGTGGGTATAGCTGTTAGCAGAGCCTCGCTCTGTACACCTGTTGTAAAGGTTTTCATGTTCTTTGCCTTGAAAACTTTTTCAGCCTGCTCTTCCTAAGTTTCTACTTATTGCCTGGGGCAGAGAGAGATGAAGAATGACTTCATGCTGGTGCTGTGGGTCTGGCCAGACTTGTGCCTATTGTTTAGATCCCTGGGGGCAGCAGCAGCAGCTCTGTGTGCAAGGCCCTTTACAGAATCCTGGCTGTGCACTCAAAGATAAATGTTTGGTATCCTCTTTTTCTAAGTCTTGTGGGTATGGAAGCACCAGAACCAGTTGTGAAGCGCTGTGGGTTATTTGGGGCTGCACGGGATGGTCCTTTGGTGGAAACGCTAGTAATAGTCTAGAAAAGAAACTGAAGTTTAGAATCTGTTCTTCTATTTTCTCTTAAGGTAAGCATGAATTAAGAACATATGGTGTAAATACAGCTCCATAAAAGCAGCGTATCGTGGGAGCACATTACAGCAGCTAGCGAGAGGACTAAAATGCCTTCGCCTGTTTTCTCTGAGTAGTCAGTCTAGGCCTGCAGTATATCCCTGGAATTCACCTACCATTAACTGTTAACTCGTCTCAATAGTTATATTTCCTTTACAGGAGTTTAACCCTTAATAGTTCATCCTGGTTTTTAATATTATCTTTTTTTTCTTTTGTATTTTGTGTACTTGCTTCGTTTATTTTCTTTTGTTGTGTTTTTGTTTTGTGTTTATGGCCATGTTCCCATTTCAGAGACCAATGTCCTCTAACTGATGAGCAATTGGTTTCGGGGTAAGACCAAACGTTCTAAACAATCACCTTTGTCTAGAATGGCTTTCTTTTCTCACCATCCTTTTAATTGTGCTTTGTTTCTGGTTTCTGTTTTACACCGAATGATGAAATAATTATATGCTAAATCACAATGTCTGCAGGAAAAGTATTGCTAAAGGTTTAAGCTAGGATAATTACACAGGTCCTACTAACATTCCTGTGCTTCCTGTAGGGTATCCAGAATGGCTGTGGTACTGTCCCTTTTGTGAACTGAGAAAAGTTGTGATCCTCCGAGAATGCAACAAGTGTAGCCTTGGCATTGTAGTTAGTCCAACAAGGAGCCCTAAACCAAATTGCTTTCTGATGAGCAATGACTTAAAAGTACAGATCAGTGAGTAAACTGTTTAATCCCACAGTAATTACGGAGAGCTCTTTGGAGACCTGGTTTTGGGCAGCTGCTCTGGTTGCTTTTCCTTGGTGCCCCACTAAGCTAAACCGGATGACTGCATTATACCCGTTTCTGAATGCGTAGAGGGAAGAGTGCTTATCTCTGCCCAGGGCCCCAGAACTGTTAAACTGCATCTCTAGCCCCTGCTTAACGTAAAGATGTTCACCTAGATACTCAGCTCCCATTCTAAACTACTTCAAAGAAGAATTCTGTATAAAAATCTGGCTTTGAATTCCTATGGCATATAAAAGATGATTATCCATTCTCAGGGAAAAAATGAATTAGTGTTTGAGATTCTCTCCCCCTCCTTTTCCATGTGCTAGAGCAATTGGTGGCTCAGCTGGGTTTCCGGAGGTGACAGCAGTTGGTCTGCACTAGTGTGGTTTGTATCGTACTGCTGGCTTGTCCGCTGTTGCTGCTCTGTTGAGCTTGTGATAGGAGCGGTAGGATATTTTGGGCAAATCAAAGCTTTTGTTTTTTGTATTTATTTTCTGTCGGCTTAATTCCTTAGTAGAGGAGAGGTTTGCTTCCCTCTGGAAATCACAAAGCTCAGATTAATCTCATAAAAGACAAAGGGGCTCTTACTGCCCGACTGTGAAACCCAGTCTGCTTCTAATGAACTCTTGGGCTCCGATAAGTCAGCATTTTTAGGTCATTTTAATACACCCCAGAGATTAGAAAATCAGCATGAAAATATCTAAAGTAAAAGTATTGTTTTCTAAAATGAGATGATGAATTGAAATGATGGGAATAACATATCTGCTGTCCCTCAATCTCCCTATCATTCCTAATGTATAAATTATAGAGAGTGTTGGGGGTGAAAAACCCCAACCTAGCAAAGCCAATAAATCTAGGCTGTCAGCTGAAGAGAAAGGGGCTGGAGTCCAGGTCACTTTTGGGAGATTCTGTGATGATGGCAGGTGTTTGTACCCCTGTAACCCATCACAAGGTTAGCTATGCTGAGCGTGTCCTCTGGCTGCAGCTGCAGTACTCTCCCAGGAAGAGAAATCTCCTCTAGTGAGAAGACAGTGAGGGCTTTACCAAATCAACCTTTTAATCTCCGCCTCCTCACAGAGCCACACGCAGGTAGGGCAGACAGGGCTGTCGGTGTCCTGAGCTCTCCTGGGAACTGCTGAACTGTTACATTCGGTACCACATTTATCTCTTCAAAGATCGCTGGTGTAGTTCCTTGTAAAAGTCAAATCTTAACAGTGGCTAAAGTAATCATAACGATCAGTTTTCCACCTCCCAAGGTATCCTTTGCCAAGGATGAGGGAGGGAAGAGTAACTCATTTCTTACCAGCGAGAAGGCATTTTCTAGTTTACCCTCCTTCTCCCTGCACCCCCCAAAACATGTGCTTGTTTTGGATCCATTGCTGTTAACAGCCTTCCTGGCTCCATGATGAGCCTAGCAATGAACAAGCTGAAAGAGGGGGCAAAGCCCACTGCTGTCATGGTGACTTTTTTCCTATTTGGAGTGGGATCTCCAGGCACTGTCAGTCCAGGTCCTGTTTGAGGATGCTTGGCCCTTTCTTCACAAACTCCGTGTGTTGTGCAAGCCCAGTGCAGCGTGGTAGGCAAGGAGCATGGTCTTAGTGGCCCCAGGAGTCTCTGGCTAGTCTCCCCATCTCTCTGCTTGCCCTTAGCGGTGTTTGGAGCAGAGCGGACGGGGATTTGGATGTTTGTACCCAGCTGCTCCTTCCATAAGCCAAACGTAAGCAGCGTGCTGTGGTCAGGATGACCTGTTTGTGCAGACACCAGGGGCTCTGACAGCTTGTAAAGCCCCGTGTTGTCCTTTACCTTCAGTATATGTAGGTCTAAAACAGAAATGCCCCCAGGGTCATATGCAGATGGATGCACACAAAAGACCTGTCTACGTGCATTTGTCTTAATTTTTGTAGTACTCCATAACTCAGGCTGAACCAGGAATATGGTACAGTAACTCTTTGGGCATCGAGGGCTCGCTTGTGGCCAAGAGATAAGGTGAGCGCAGCACACACCCATGCCTGCCCTCTTCTCTGAGTGATACTGGGTTATCTGGGATACTTGCCTGGTGGAGGGGGATGGTCTGACAGGGGCACACATCCCCGAGTGTAAATAAAGAAAATGAAATATACATTTTCACTCTTTAAAAAATGGTCTCATCAGAAACTGTTTTGAAATTCGTTTGGTTAAATGGGAGCCTCCGAGAAATCAGCTGAGGAAAGAACTTGCTAATATCAAACCTTGTTGTGCTCCTATTCTAGAACAGCAAGTTCCCTCCAGCAGCTGAGTTCCTCTTCCCTGTGGATTTCAGCTTCTCTGTCTCAGGGGAGGAAAACAAGCGTTTGCAGAGACCAGACCAATGTTACAAGGAGAGCAGTTGCAGAATTCCTCCCTTGTCACAGTGGATTCTTGCCTGTTTCTGCAGTGGTAGCTGTATTTTACAGGGCACTCTCCTTGTAGATCTGTGCCCTCCTGTCTCACAGCTGATTTCTTCCCGGAAACAAGTGTTTGTAGAGACCAGACCAATGTTGCAAGGTTATTGGAAAGAGCAGTTGCAGAATTCCTCCCTTGTCACAGTGGATTCTTGCCTGTTTCTGCAGTGGTAGCTGTATTTTACAGGGCACTCTCCTTGTAGATCTGTGCCCTCCTGTCTCACAGCTGATTTCTTCCCACTGCTGCTCCAGAGCAATCCAGTAACACCATGGTCAGCGTTGGGAAAGGCCTGACCTGTCATGAATTTGTCTCGGTTTGGTTTATGAAATGAGAAAGCCCAGGTGAGGCCAGGCAGCTCTCAGAAGGGTCCCGGTGGTCTGTTGACCACAGGTTGGGATCTGTTACGTGAGTAACTTTGAGTCTCAACGATGAGCTTTGGGAAAGGAGGGATGAGCGTTGAATGTGTGTTTCTTCTAACTGAGTCAGCTCTTTCTTGCCTTTCCCTCTGCCATGTCGGGTGGCTTAAAGATCTCTGTTGTGCTTGAGTGACAGGCTGTGTTGATATGTAGTTGCTTAGGAAGTTCATTAACCTGCAGCTAAATCCAGGCAATGGCTAACTCGAGCTGTTTTTATATTTAAGCAAACTGCATCTAATCTTTCCAATGTATTTTGCTGAGCATGTAATTAAATAAGCATGACCTTGCAGTCTTTGTCATGAATGCTTCCTGTTTTATAATTGTGATGATCTGAGAGATGTAATTAAGGGGCTCTTAATTTTCCGTAATTGGTGGTACTCCAGGTACAACAATTTAGACAAAATTTACAATACTTGAAAAACTCATTAGTGTGTTTTTTTTTTTCCCCCTCCTGTATTTGGAGGAATATTCTGGGGGTATGCTGTTTGAAAATTGTAATAACTTCCTTTTCTGCTCTTCAAGGTTTTCAGATGTCATCCTGGCAACAATTTTGGCTACCAAGTCAGATATGTGTGGCAAAAAGTTTGAACTGAAGATCGATAATGTTCGCTTTGTTGGGCATCCCACGTTGCTTCAGCATGCCCTTGGGCAGGTACGGTCCGAGGTCTGCTCTGGGCACCTGCCTTGGTTACAAACTGCCTGGCTTTGTTAGGAAACTTAGCATGAAGAGTGTGCGTGTTGGCTCTTGATCCTGTTTTTGCTTCCTGATGCTCAAAGCTGTCTTTTACTTACTTCCAGATAAATACAGCGAGTAGCAAACTGAGAGAGCTGTGTCAGTGATTCGCAGAAACCCCTTCTGGTTACTGGAGAAAAGCAGTCTGGGTAAAGAGAAGTAAAACTAGGCAGTCCAGCTCAAAAAGCTGTTTTCACTATGTTAGTTATCCCAAGTCAGGTTTTTAACACCTCTAATTAGTACGGCAGTTAAAAAAACCCACCCAAAACCTCCACAAATGCTAGAAGCTGTGTCAGCCTTGTTTATCTTTTAACTCTTACTGGTGCTGAAGATGATTCACAAGGCTCAGTTGGAATATGTAGGATGTTGAAAGAGGTCTCAAATTTTCTTGTGGACAAAGTCAGGCTGCTGTTTGCATTGAGACCTTGCTCTGTAGCCTGTGTTTTAGCTGCTTGGAATGAAAGCAGTTGCTACCTAGGCTATAGAAAAGGTCCTGCTTAAATCTAGGAAGGAATTTACATTCTTCTTATGTGCAAAATATTCCCTGTCCCATTGCTCCTTCCTGACAGACTGTAAGAATGAACTAGGGTTTGGTCATTTCTGAATCCAACACTGATCTCTGTCACTGAACTGCTTTGGTCTCATTTTTCATCAAATTTACTGAGTCATTCCTTTTTTCAGGAAAAAATAAAATCTGCTTGCCAATTCTATAATCTTTTCTATCTATAATTAGAGGTGCAAACAGATTGTTGGCAACTGCTGCTCGATATTTGGAGAACCAGACTGCTTTAATCCAAATCCTCACGCACCCACAGATGCTAGTGTTCCACTTTCGAAACTCAGTTGTGAGTCTACAAGAAATGTGACAGAGGATCGCCAAGACTCAGTGCTCAAATGTTTAAGCTGTTTTGGAAAACAGAATTCAGGTCTCCCCAAGCTGTGCAAGTACAGCAGCAGCCCCAGACAAGGCCAGTGATGAACCAGTCCCGGGATCCATGCAGCGACCCTGGCCAGGAGCAAAAGGAGACAGGACCAGAGACAGGGCTGGAGGGTGAGGCTGCAGTGTGCTAACAGAGGGTCCCTCCAGGAGACAAGCTTCCTGCGATGACGTAGGTCAAATGTCCATCCAAGAGACACGCACACCTCGGCTGAGCTTCAGTGGGGCTGCTGGGGCATGGGCTAGAGGCTGTGGGGGGCCCAGTCCGGGCTGGCCAGGGCCATTAGGCCTTCTGGTGCCCTCAGGGCCCTGACAGCAGTGGCCTGTTCTCTCCCCATATCAGATTCCTCTATTTTGCTAATCTCATCCAAAAGGCACAATTTCCTAAGTGTGGTGTAAATGAGGTTGAAAATGTGTATTTGCATTTTTTCACCACATATTGTTATACATTCTCTTCACTTTCCAGTCAGTTTTATCCGAATTGCATGAAACATCTCTTCATTTTCAATTTGTCTAAGTCAAATTGCATCTGGGTAGATAAAGTTATAAAAGTGCTGTAAACACTTTTTTGTTACTTCTTGTAGGATCTTTTTTGGGGGGGTCTTATCACCCCAGTGAGCACTCTAGAACTTTCTAGAGTCCAGAATCTGCTAGATGCGGCAGCTGTCTGTTCTAGTTCATTTGAGTCTAAATCTGGGACCCTTTTGCAGTTAGGAGGGAGCTAGATGGAGCTCCTTTCCCGTGGAGCAAGGACAGTGACCGCAGTAACCTGACAGCCTCTGGTTTGGGTTTCTTTGGAGTTCATACTGCAGTAAATTAATCCACAGGACAGCTCAGCAAATTCTTACTCAGATGAGATTCAGGAGTTACAATATTTAATCCTGTGTGCCAAACCGCCTTTTATGTAGGAATATTCTGAATTCTTCAAATTCTTTCAGCATTTTTCTTTCCAGCTTAGTCTTTTCTTTTTTCTGGACAAAAGGTGATATGAAATCTAGCCTGCATCCCAGTTGCCGTTAATGATGGCAGTTTCTTTGATTTTTAAGGAAGGAACAGGATCAGTCCCTACACTTGGAAATGCTTTTGAGTCTATTCAAGTTCACAAGACATCCTGGAACCTGTAACTGCAGAAGAAATAAACACAGTAAATTGGCCTTCCCTCCCTCCCGTCACTGCCTTTCTGGTAGAACTTCACTTACAGTTTAAAAAACCAACATGTATCGCTTCTTTTAGTTTCTGTAATTTTTAAGACTACTGAGTGAAAGCGCTCAGATTTCGGAGCTCACTCATTGATGACCTGTCAGGAAGGGCGGACACAGCTCTGCTTTTCCCAGCTTCTCTGAGTTTGCCCTGTCTCGGGCGCTGCATTAGGTACATCAGCACATCTGTTGGGTAGGGACGGAACGTTAGGTTAGGTTCGGTGGGTGTTTGGCCTGGTGGGTTACAGCTGTTTTCACTTGGGGC